TTCCACTCCCCACCCCCTTCGCTGCATGTGGTTCCACAAGTCTCACAAAACCTGGCACTTAAACGCTCTCAAAAATGAAGACGCCCCGCGAGCTAACAGAAGGCCGAGGGTACCCAGGGTTTGCTGTCATTCGGGCTGACCTGAGTGCAGCGGTGATCTGGTGGGGAGGGCCCGGGGCCCGCGTACCTGGTCGAACAGCTCGAAGAGTTTGGCGCTGGGCTGGTGGATGGTGCAGATGATGGAGCGCCCCCCTTGAGCGAGCCCTTTCATCAGCGAGACCACCTGGAAGCAGGAGGCGCTGTCCAGGCCGCTGCAAGGCAAGGGGCATCGTGAGATGTCCATGGGCGGCAGGAACAAGCACTGCCCCAGGTCCCAGGGGCCCAGGGAGCTCCTGTCCCAGAGGACTTGGCATCAGGGGCCTGTAGCTGCAGCTGCCCCGTCCCAGGCCGGGGCAGCTCTTGCTGTTTGTTTTTTGCTGCTTAGTGTCGGGGCACACAGTGGGGCTTTGCATGTCATATTTTATTCCTGGCAAGAATGGAGGGACCCCAGCGAGCCTTCTTGCCAGAGTTTAGGACTGGGGGGGGTCCCCACTCATCTGGGCGGGGGTGGGGACTTCACAACTGTCCAGGCAGAAGAGAGGTGGGGGTCCCCACTCATCTAGACGGTGGGGGCACTTCACAACTGTCCAAGCAGGACAGAGGTTTGGGGGGTCCCCACTCATCTGGGCAGATGGGACTTCACAACTGTCCAGGAAGGCAGCTGTGCCTCAGGTGGTCTAGTGCTCCACAGTCACCACCCCCCACTCCCCACCTCCCATCTATGGGGCTGGCGATGGGGGTGTCACCCCATAGAAGGCAGCCTTGGTGCAGCCCAGGTGGGCTTTACTCCGGCAGGTAATTCACTGTACAGAAGGGTCCTTGGGGGGACCCCTCTTCTCTCCTCTCCTTTCCTGGCTGCTCACATCTACTCCTGCTCCCATCCCCTCAACTCTGAAGTGACAGGCCCAGCGGACAGTGTGTGCTGGGCAGTCCCCCAGCCCGCCCGTCTCAGAGCATTCAGGGCATTCAGCTTGCAAGATGCTATTCAAGGGTTCACTGTGGTCTGTTTTCCTGAAGTATCTGACAGACACCGTGGGCTGCTGCTGTGCAGGCCCAAGAGAAGAAACAGGTGAGCCTCCCCTCCCGACCCCCAGAAGGTCACTGTCACGTTGCTGTCAAATCTAGCCGGACTTTGGAGAGGTGAGTGAGTGGCAGAAATGAGACAATGGAAAGTCTGGCTTAAGTCATTTCAGGAGCAGCCTCATTCCTGGCCGCCCATCCTCCCCGGGACAACTGAACAGGACACACGCAGGAGTCAGGCGAGCTCAACCTGCAGCCGGGGGCACCAGAGCCAGGACTCCAGAGCAGCAATTCCACAGCGGAGCCCCAAACATAAAGGGCATCACCCAGGACAGGGGTCAGAGCGCCCGTGGGTATAGAGAGCTGGCGAGCAACTGAGGCAGGATTCTGTCCTGCAGGCATCTCTGAGCCTCTGATGTGCTAAACTGCAGGGCATTTCCAGAACACACCTGAGGACAGACCGTTTCCCAGGGCGTCCCATGACCTTGGCCTTCACAGTGGCTGAGCCATGAGGAACTTGGTGTCATGGAAAAGACATGCATCGTGAAAGGATGTTCCCTGCTGCCCCGATGACTGGGGACCCCCCCGACCTCTGTCCTACCTGGACAGTTGTGAAGTTCCTCCCAAAGCCATACCCCCAGGGTCAACACATGCCGTGCAGGCCCGAGCACAGGGGTGTCTCTGAGGGAGAGAGGGAGGCAGGGGGTGTAAGTCAGCTCTTCTACCCAGTGGTCCCAGATGGAAGGAGGAACCGCTGGGTGAGCTCACCCCCTCTGAGGCTACATCAGGATGTCAGGGTCACCTGGAAGAACTGCTGAATAGAGGGGGCTGTTCCTGCCCCTGGACATCAGCCCAGATGCTCCTGACTTACCTGGTGGGCTCATCGAAGAACATGACTGGAGGGTTGTTCACCAGCTCCAGCGCGATGGCCAAGCGCTTGCGCTGACCACCTGACAGGCTCCCGGTCCGCGTGTTGGCACAAGACAGCAAGCCCAGCGCTGTCAGTATCTCCTTGACCTGGGGCAACAGAACCAGAGACATTGGGAGCTGCCCGCCAAAGCTCACTACCTCCATGGCCCACGCGGGAAGACCTGACGGCCGCCCTCAGCCTGCTGGACACACGGTGCCCGGTCCACATGGAGGCTGCGGAAGTCGAGCCCACCCCAGGCTGCCCAGTGCCAAGTGGGGCAGGTGCCATTTCCACGTCAGCAGTCCTGATGAGGCACAGAGACTGCCCAGAGGCTCTGCACTGCCCAGAGGCTGTGCAACAGTGCTGGGGTCAGACACAAGAGCCTGCGTCCTCATCAGTCATATGGCCTCTGGCACTCTGGCAGGTGCCCAGGGCACGTTCCTCACTGCTAAGCCTAGCCCAGTGCCCCATACGGAGGAGGTGTCCAGTCAGTGGCTGATGAATGGACACATGAGAGGATGCACAATTTCTGGTGGTTTCTGCCCAGAACGAAGGGGAGAGTTGCTGTGACGGTTACTTGAAAGAGTGAATGCAGAGTGCGGGGGGCAGCATGGAGTCCGTTGGGGGGCCAACGTGGAGTGTGCAGGGGGGGCAGCGTGGAGTCCACAGTGGGGCAGGGTGGAGTCCACGGGGGGCAGCGTGAAGTCCGCAGGGGCTGTTCCCAGCACTCCCGTCATCGCTGAGGTAGGTGTTAAGGGCAGGAACACAGTCACACATGCCAGGGCTCTCGGGAAGGGGAACAGAGTCACTTTTGTTCTTGTAAATAGGTTTGACTTGAAAACAAGGTCTCTGAGGTGCCGGGAAGGCAACAACACAGATCTGCAGTGCCCCTCAAAGCAGTTATGACCTACGGTAGCCACACCACGGCGTGGGCTCCAGGAAGCAGGCTGCACGCCAAGACATAAGCAGGGCACTGTGCACGGAGCCCTCCCTGTCTGCTCCGGATTATTGATCCTGTATCGACTCAGGGAACACAAAGGTCAGCAGATTTCTGTGCCGGTTTGGTGTAGCTTTCAGTCCCGGCATCGTCTCAGAAGCAGGGCCTGGGTCAGCCACTGCCATCCCTGCCTCCCTACCCTGGGGACAGCCTGCCTGCAGCTCCCTCCAGCATTCACCCAGCCATTGTCCCCACCCTGCCAGGGCAGCCCTGTGGTGGCCGACCCCTGGCGGCCATAGCAAGTGGACCCTACTCCGGCAGCTCCTCTAGGGAGATGAAGTCATCCGAAGGGAGGAAGAACTCACAAGGAAGAAAATTTCCACTCTGAGCTTTTGAATTATTTATGCACGGTCAGTACAAAGTGCAGCTTTGGTGACAGAAAGAACCAGGGCACGGCTGCTGGACAGGCCGGGGAAGGTGGCAGTACAGGGTCAGCTGACCTGGGCTCCAGCCCTGTCCTGAACGTCCTTGCTGATGCCCTCACCCCAGCCCTGGTGCCTCCCCTGGATGCCTGGCTCTGAGGGCCGCCAACCCAGAAACAGCTCTGGGAGGCTGTCTGGAAAAGGCTGGTGTGTGGGGGACGTGCAAGGTGGGCAGGGCCCTCTTCCCGGCCGGCATCGACTGCTGGTCTTCCCGGACGAGGTCTCCAGGTCTTCCGGAACCACTGGGCGACGCTGCCGGCCGACTGAATGGCTCTGGTGCTTCCAGGCTCACTGTGGGGGCCCCACACATGCGGCACGTCTTCTCTCTCTCCACCCTCACGGAGGGGATGCTGGAAGCGG